GGTGGGAGCGCGGCGGGACGCGGAGCAGCCCCGGAGGATGGGGCGAGCGGCGGCAGGTGAGGCCGGGCAGGGCAGGGCGGGCTCGGCCGCAGCTCCGGGGGTCGCTCGCTGCCCGCGGGCACCGGCCGGAGCAGCGGGACGTCGCGGCACAGGCAGCCCCGGGCTGGCGGGGACCGCGGCACTGGAGGACGGACCGGGAGGATCTGCGGCGAGCGGCTCCTTTCGTGGTGGGGGGAGAGGTGGGGTTCACTTTCCCCACTGGAGAAAGGGAGCGGGAGGGCAGGTGGCACAGGGAGGGCAGGTGGCACAGGGAGTCACGTCCCCTCTGCTCTCCCCGCAGGCGTCGGGCTGGGCACCGTGTCCCTCTGGGGCTGCCTCCTGCTCGCTGCCGGCCTTGCCCTTGACCCAGCACCGCCCATCTGCAACTGCTCGGAGCCCATGGACTACCAGGCTTTCCGGGAGGCTCCGCTCCCTGAGAGCTGCTGCCTCAACTTCACCAGCTCCAACATCACCCAGCTAGACTGGGGAGCACTGGTGGGGGTGCAGGGGCTGCGGGAGCTCTACCTCTCCCACTGCAGCATCACGGCCATCAGCAACGCACAGGGAGTCCCTCCTGCCTTGGAAATCTTACACTTAAGCCACAACCTGTTGGAAAGTCTCCCTGGAAGCTTTCTAGAAAATGCCCCTAATTTGAGGGTTCTTTATCTGGACAGCAACCAGCTTCAGGAGCTACCCCGGTCCTTCCTGAAGGCATCTTCCCAGGTCCAGGAGGTCTACCTGGGCTTCAATGCCCTCACCTTTCTTCCTGCCAGCCTCCTGAAGCCATCTCTGCTCCAGCTTCAGCTCTCCAACAACAGCTGGGACTGCAGCTGTGCTTTGCTAACCAACCTGGAGGGTTGGTCCAGCCAGGCTGCCGAGGTTATCTGCCACACACCAGAGCACTACCACGGCGTGGGCCTCCAGAGCATCCCCCGGGACGAGCTGTGCCGCTCGCACGGCCTCACCGCCCTCTTCATCTGCCTGCCTCCCCTCCTCATCCTCACCTGCGTCACTTGGTGCTTCTGCCGGCAGAAGAAAAAGACCAACTACAGCCTCCAGAGCAGGTCCCAGAGCCAGCGGGCCATGGCAGAGAGGAGCAATGTGCCAATGTCTGCAGAGCCCCACCACTACATCCCCTACGAGCTGCCTGCTGCTCCCTCCAAGACTGAGAAGAAAGTGCTGCTGGGGAAACAGGTCGTGCTCCAGCCCTTCGTGGATCCACTGGAGAGTGGCAGAGACCTCTATGAGGAGGTGGAGATCCAGGTGGGATCCCCCAGCAGTCCCCAGGTGCCATCCCATGAAGGGCAGCTGGGCACCCCAGCACCAAGGGCAGAGGAGCTGGGCAGTGAGCCAGAGGTGGACACCGTGAGCGTGAGTGAAGTCCTGAAGGACTCTGCTGACCGGGAGAAGATCTACATGAGTCAGACAACCAGCTATTACAACCTGGTACCTGGTATCGAGCTGGAGGACTCAGACAACCTGGAGTATGAGACCATTGACCTGCACTGATGCCAGGACTTGGGCTGTGTCTGGACACACAGCTGGATGGCAGGGGCTGGGCAGCAGTGAAAGCCACCAGAGCAGGAGAGGCATGAGTTGTCCTGCCATGGCTGACAGTGGCTGTTTGCAAAGCTGCACCCCCAAATACCCGTCCCTTCCCCTGTGCTGCTGTGTGAACCCTCGCTTGCCATGTGCTGCAGCTGGGCAAGGCTGCAAGGGGGCTTCAGGCTCTGGGAACCCTACCACAGGCTGGTGGTGCCTGAGGAAGGACGTGGAGGGAAGGTGGGCGCTGGTTTTGGGGATCAAGGGATGATGCTGTGAGTGCCAGACCCACTGACCAGAGCTTCCTCTCTTGCTGGAGCCAGACGGTGCCTGGCACAGACCTGCTGCTCTCCAGCCTGCAGGGAACACGGTCTGGAGACATGAAACAGGGCTGGCCCTGCCTGTATGGTCTGCAGGGAGTGTTGCATTTGGACGGGGTGCCCCGGGCCTGGCAGGGGAAGCCTGTGGTGGCTCTGCCTGCTGCCCACGCCACAGTGGCACAGGGACTTGAGACAGTCAATGCACATGTGCTGCTTCATGGCGTGTGTGTGTGAAGTGCACACACAAACAGGGCGGTGTCAGAGGCGGCCCCTTGCAGACAGCCCTGCAGGATCCAGCTCTCAGTAAGAAATATATCATTTTACTCCTGGCAGTGTGGCTCCATCCCTTTGTGCTTTGGGGTAGTGGGGAGCCAACAAGTGGGATGTGGGGAGTGCAGGGATGGTGGACTTCACTCCTACCCCATCCACCCTCCCATGCCCTGGGTGATGGCCCAGTGAGGGTCTTGCTCAGCATCCCTGGAGCCTCTTTGTCACTCTGGCAGAGCAGAGCTGGGCACTGGCTAAATGCCAGCAGAGCCTTTAGATTGTATCAGGATTTACAACAGGGGTGGGGAAGGTGTCAGCCCGCTGTAAATGCCACAGATCCTGAACAAAGCAAGAATTTGTGGGGCTCCTGGGAGCAGGGCAAAGGCTGGGGGTGCTGTAAATCACTGCCCAGTACAGGCACCCCCAGCAAGTCTCACCCATGGTGCTCCAACCCTTCTCTGCAGATGAGGGGGAGGACATCTTTGTCCTCCTGCCCAGGGGGACATTCTCCAGGCTGGAAGCTGCATTGGCCACCCTGTCTGCTCTGCAGCCGTGCTGGGCCTGGTGCCCAGGCAGGAAGGGAGGGAGCTGGGCAGGGCAGGACGCGGTGCTCCGGCCGGCAAAGGAAGTGGCGTTTCCTGCAGTGCTGTGGGGCTTCCAGCAGCCCATGGTGGGACTGCTCAGCCCTAGCACTGCTCAGTCCCAGCCCCACATGGCCTGGGGACAAGGATGGGATGATTTCCCTTCATGTCTCTTGCCACTCATGGATGTTTCCCCCTGTTTTATATCCAGCTGGACTTCCTTCCTTGCTCCCTCCTGGGCCCTGGGAAAGTATCCCAGTCTTTTAATATCCCTCCATCACTCTCTGCCAAGTACTACAGCGTACCCTGGCTCATGCCACCACCACATCCCCACAGGGACAGAGGGACCAGAAGCTGCCACAGGGCAAAGGCAGGACAGGCAGGGTTAGCAGCTGTCTCCAGGGGCTGCAGATTTTGACTAGGGCTAACAACAGCTGCATTTTTCACCTGTGCTCCAGAAATGCCCACAGCTCTTCCATGGGTGCCCCCTCTGCTCATGTACCCTGGGATTCCATTCCCAGGGCTGCTGGGAATGATGTAACATCCTGTCCTTTCCCTCCTTCTCATGAAGCATAAATTCAGATGCCACAGCTGATGGAAAGGGAGTGACCCAAATGATCCCACTGGGTCTTATCCAGCCCTTGCTCTGGTACCTGCAGCCCCTGCCCAAATCTCAATCTCTGACAGGTGGCACGGTGTGACCAAACCCAGTGTTCCCTGTTCTTGTCTGTGACAGCCCTGGCACACTCAGACACATGTTTTCCAGATATTAGTTAAAAAGTTCCCTTTCCTGCAAGCCCCCCTTCCTTTAAAGCTCCCAAATTCCTTCAACAAGCCAGTCCTGCTTCTCCACTGCCTTCTAGGTCACTGCTGGACCTATTGAAGTGTAACCACAAGGTCATTTCCTGGGATGGATCATGTCCTGTAAAAATACCCCAAAGTTAATGCTGTGTGGAGCTGAGAGAGCCACTCAACAGCAAGGAGCGGGACACAAAACAAGTGACTTCACCTGGCTTATGCTGCAGCTGGTCATCCTATGAAAGCAACTCTTTTTTAAATTCAGACCCTCCACCTCTCAGAAGTGGGTAAGGTCCTCAGCCTAGGCTTTTGCACTGCTGAAGTCTAGCCAGGCTACAGCTGTGCTTAACCCCAGCCCCTGCCCATCACTCCCAGGCAGGTAAATCCCTGCGCTATCCATAGGGCTGTGCATTCCACAGCCTGCAGCGCTTTGGGAGCAAAGTGCCACACACCCTGGCCAGCTGCCACTGCTCTGTTCCCATGTCACATCTCCAGGTGCCACTTTCCTTCCCACGGGCAGTTGCCCTTGGCAGCTGTTTCTCAGAGTAGCAACTTTGTAAACATCACACATTGAGGAGCCATAATCTTGTTCATCGGTTTGTAATTCTGCTGTGACACCGAGACAGCATTTGCTCCATAAAGCCCGAGTTTCTCCACCTGTACAAAGTTCCCCAGAAACACCCTGAATGCTGTTTGCACTCTCTGGAGGATGACGGGAGAGAAGAAACACACTCAGAGGAAGCAGCCGTGACACAGCCCTGCCAAGGGCGCTTATCGCCTCCGCTCCACCTCTCTGCAAAGCAGGCGTTGCTGGAGAGCAGGGAAAGTTTACACCGGATCACTATGGAGAAGGAATGTGCTTGTGAAAACATCCCACCCAGCCCGGGTCCCACTGCCAGGGACTCCTGGACTGCAGGGGCACGCAGCTGGGCTCAGCCCTGCCCCAGTGTGAGGGACTGCCAGCGCACACCTGTGGCACAGCGTGCTGCTGCGGGCATGAACAGCAGCACTCTGCAACGCTCAGCTCTGGCACTGACTCACCCCACCTCCCTGCCAGCGCCACGGCATGAACCCACTCCCCAGGGCACCTCCTGCTGTTACACTTGGCAAACACGGCACAGCGTCACAGGAAAAAAAATTAAGCCCCTCCCCCCAAATCTATTTGGGGGCACGGAGTTGCATTTTTGAAGCATGAGACTTGGGTCTTGCCACAACTCTCCTCAGGGCGAGATGATCATGGGCCACCTCCCTTTCAGTTCAGAGCTAATAATTGAGATGCTGGGGCTGCAGGAAGCCTGATTTGCACCAGTGATCCAGTGGATAAATTGGCTTTTGTGAAAAAACACAAATGGGATGAAGTGTGCAGTGTGTTTACCTGACAGGCACAAGATGTGCTAGCCTGGCCTGCCCTATGGCACAGGACCAGCTCAGATGGGCTCCTGACTTCCCCCAATACCTGCACAAAGAGCAACTATTTTCAGAGATTTAAGGACAGGAGCCTCTAGGAAAGAGATCACCAAAACAACCAGAATAACTTTTGCTCACCACAGCTTTCCAATTCCACCACAAGTGGCAGGGCACAAAGCTGGAGTTTGTATCCAGCTTTCGAAAGGGACAGACCATGATGAGAGCCTGGCCCTTCTGCTAGAAGGAGTTGATCTTGCACTGGAATGAGACCAAGGAGGCCAGGGAAAGACCAGCTGGTCAACTGAGCAGTGCCACCTAGTTTGGTTAAAGATACTGGATGCTGCAGGGAACTGTACAACCATGCAGGAAACACCAAAGGGGGCTGCTGGCCTGAACCAGGGGATGGGAGCTCATGTAATGTGGAAGGCAGAGAGGCACGAGTTACCAGCTGCAGAGGCTGAAGGTGTAGTAGCCAAGTTTCAGCCAGACTTGCTCCCAGGAACGCAGAACTTTTAATGGGGGTGCACACCTGCACCTACCTCCTGCTCACAAGTTTCCAATATTGGACATTCCCCGCTTCTGCCCAATCTGACAGCTCTTTTCCACACACACTTGGTCCTGCAAGTCACTTAGAACCCACGGAGATGTTTTAATTGAGCACATGCAGGGTCAAGTTTTGCCTGAAGATGTTAAAGGGTGCAGGGATTCCTAGAGTTCCATGTTCCTTCACATTTTACAAGGCAGGTGGAGCTACAGAAGCCCTCTCCATACTGCACACGCAAATGAGCACACAACCTGTTACGGCACAAGACTCGTGGTTTATTCCTTCTCTTAGCACAATAGTTTTTATTCATTTGCCTTTTCTGGCCTTGATCTTCCTCAAGTAGAACTCTAATTCCTTGCCTTCCAACACGTAGCCATCGGCTCGGCCACACTGTCCGGGTCTGGAGGCAATGCAGGCTGCAAGGAGAAGTCATGCAGTTAAAGTCTGGCAATTCCCACCCCAGTGCACACAGCAGAGAACAGACACTGCACGCAGCCTCTCTGCAGCAGCGCGGACGAGCAGCTCATCCATCAGTAACCGAGTCAGCAGCGTGGAGGTACCGTGCTCTGGAAGCTGCACTCCCTAATGAAGTCCTCCTCAGATCTCCAAACTGTCATCGCTCGGGTTCAGCAGCAGAACTGGACAAAGGTCTCATCACCAGAAGACTTCAGAACACTCAACTGTTTGCCAGAGCTTGAAACATCAAAGCTCTCAGATGCCTGAGGCACATTTTTCTGACACCCTCTTGCTCATTTTGCTAGTCTTGAGCCCCTTTCTTTCTCAAAACCCCAACAGGAATAATCAACTGCAGAAGCCTGGCTAGCCAGACTTCCCCATCCTGCCCACAAGTGGGGTATCTCTGGAGAAAATGAAAGAGCAAGTTACATTAACTGCTGCCAGGGACTCACCAAGTAGCTTTCCTTGCTGGAACTGCTCCTCAAGAATACTTGCTATCTTGGCATTCTTCTTTCGCTCATCGTATTTTTTCTGGATCTTCTTTGAACGCTTCTTGTTCAGTATTTCCTCCTCTTCAGGAGTCTAAACCCAAGACCAAAAGCAAAAAAAAATGTTTAACAAATGGCCACCTTCCACTAACACAGGTGTTTTCCACTACCATGAAGGAAGCCCTTGTATTCTCAACACTGTACTGTTTTCAAAGTCATACCTGGCTAAGGTACAAATACTTTGATCTCACAGAAGCAGGTCCTGCATTTCACTTTTGAGACCAAGAAATGCAACACTGCTAACCAGAGTCACTGCTGACAACTGAGCACATTGGCCTAGGGAAGGCTGTTCTCAAGTCAATGAAAATGCAAAGGTTTCCCTGGTGAATCACTCCTCCTACAAAAAGCAGTGAATACTCTTTCCCTCTGCAGAAAAAATGAAAGCACTTGGGTGTGGTGCAAGTCCAGGCAGACAAGCTCTCCCCCTGCTTCTGCACTACACAGCACCCAAACAAGAGCTGCTTTGCTTTTAATGCAAGAATTAATCTGAATGCTACATGTGGGGTTTTAAATACCCTCTAGCAGTCCAGGGTTTGATTCTCAGATTAATGGCTCAGTGTAGTTTCAAGACACTTAACATGCTGAAGTTCAATGAGCAATCCCCAAGCTCCTCACCAGAGCGATCACTGCCCAGCACAAGAACCCAACCTACAAAGTCTTCCTCAGCATCCTAAATTGTCATCGCTCTCCCTTCAGTAGCAGAACTGGACAAAGGTATCATCATTAGAAGACAAAAATTTTGACAGGCAGGTCCTTGTGCACAAATGGGCGAGAGCTTCTGGGTGAGCTCCTACCGAGCACTCCATTAGGAGAGCCAGACTTATCCTGAGAACCTACGGGGACACAGCTCAGATAAGCAGTGCTGGGTACCCAGGCCTGTCCTGGCAGGCTCTGTCCGTTCAGGATGGCTAACTGCCTCTGGCAGGGCACACTGCTCTGCCAGGAGCCAAAAGGACGAGCCCAGGCGTACCAGTTTGGCGCCCTTCTTGCGCCCCAGGGGCAGGGCATAGTGGGCCTCGTACCACTGCCGGTACGGGGTGCTGTCGATGAGCACGATGCAGTTCTTCACCAGGGTCTTGGTCCGCACCAGCTCGTTGTTGGAAGCGTTGTACACAACGTCAATAATTCTGGTCTTGCGAGTGCAGCCTTTCAAGAGAAGAGCGTGAGTTCAGACCTACAGGGATCAGGCAGCTGAGTGTGCAGCTCACAGCATCTCACACAAGCCTTTTAAATAACTTGGCACTCAACACCTCACCCAGTATCTTCCAGCCTGCCTGGCGTTGAATTAAATTTAACTAGAAGATGCAGCTATTTTTCATACTTTGTCAAACTTTCTGTTGTTAGGACAGAAATTACATCTGGAAATTAAATCCCTCCTATATGAAAACCAGTTGAGTTGGAACTCATCTCCGAAGTATCTAAGCAACCCTAGAAAATAACTGTCCAGCCTAGCAAGATCAGCAGATGCCAACTAGCACTGCACACAGGGCTCAATGCTGTATGCACTTGCTAGAATCACTGAATTAAGCCATACTGAGTGGGACTGCCCTGAAATACATTTCATAAACCATTTCTATAGGATGAGGGTCTGTGAGTAAACTGAGAAGGGAAGCTGGTGTTTTCACCCTTCCAAGACCCCCCTGAAGCCTGCAGCCTCAGTTACTAGATTTGACTGTTCAGCAGTCACCTGCCCTGAAAACAGCCCCCATATACACAAAGATCCTGCACAAGGTGGCTTTTCACCCTTCACTCACATACCTTGTCCATGTTGCAAGGCACACTCAGCCTCTTCACATGTGCAATAGTGACTGTAATGACACTTTTCACTGCACAGACAATGCTCTGAGATAAGTGAAAGCATGTCCTGTGCCCTCACACCATGCAGGTCACTAACCCACCATCCTCCTTACAGCTGTTTTACCATCCTGCTCACGACTGGGCCCAGGCTCAAGTGATACTTGTTGTCAGCTTGTAAAGCAAAGCTGACTGTAATGACACTTTTCACTAACCCACCACCCTCCTTACTGCTGTTTTACCATCCTGCTCAGGACTGGGCCCAGGCTCAAGTGATACTTGTTGTCGGCTTGTAAAGCAAAGAAAACCCACCTTGCTCAGGGGAAATATGACAGAATTCCCCTCTTGCTTCTGGGCTTCTTACTTTTGCTTAGCAAAGCAGAAATATGAAATTGCACATGCTAATGTGACACTGTCCTAGGGTCAGGCCTTCTCACAAGCATCCTCAGAGCCTTTCTCTGTTGCTCAACATCACTTAACTTTAGCTTGTAAAGCAAAGAAAACCCAACTTGCTCAGGGGAAAATATGACAGAATCCCCCTCTTGCTTCTGGGCTTCTTACTTTTGCTTAGCAAAGCAGAAATACGAAGTTGCACATGCTAATGTGACACTGTCCTAGGGTCAGGCCTTCTCACAAGCATCCTCAGAGCCTTTCTCTGTTGCTCAACATCACTTAACTTTCAGTAACCCCATTCACTGATGAACAAAACTTGTGTTTCTGAAGAACTACTTGTATATAGGATTTCAGCCCCTTTTTAGTCTGCCTCCCCCATAAAAAGTTAAGGTAAGCATGTCACTCAGTGTAACTATGACACTCCTATCACTGTGAACTTAGTGGAAATCCAAGTCCCGCTAAGGCCACGTAAGGTCAAAGTTATCATCATCATCATCACCATGCACGCTGCATCAGCTGCCAGCTCCAGGACGTTCCATCCAAGCCCACAAACCCACTGTGCAGCAGCGCCCCAGACCAGCACAGGTTTCCCCTGCACGCAGCAGGCTCAGCACATACTTACACTCTGAGCCCCAGGAGAAGTTGCCGACGTCCAAGCGAAGGGCTCGGTACTTCTTATTGCCCCCACGAACCCTGACGGTGTGAATCCGGCGCGGGCCAATCTGCAGATTGAGATTTGAGACACAAACGCCGGGCTGCTGCTGGCTCCGCACACTGCACGGCCCCACGGGAGCCCAGCACAGCCCTGGCCTCCGAGGCAATGTGGTCAGTGTAACTATGACAAACCCCAGCATCGGCACATGCAGTAAATGACCAGAACGGTCTGCTGCATCTACCTAAGGTGAAAGCTTCATCACTCCAATTGCCTCTCACTGCAAAAACGCATCCTGCTTTCCATCGGCAGGGAGGAAAATACCACCCTTTAGAGAAGGATGGTCAGATATTCAACCCCACACCAAACAGCAGCAATTTAAACCTCTAATAGCACAGAAGCAGCAACTCGAGCTGGAAAACATGATTCTGACCGACTCTGCCCAATCGCTCACCTTAGTGTTGGCGGGAGGTCTCCCCAGCTCATACTTCCTCTTCTTGTGGTAGGGCTTCCTCTTGCCCCCAGTCTTGCGACGCTTGTGCCAGTTGTCCCGGGAGATACCTGCACGGAGAGCAGCGTGGTCAGAGGGAGCCACGAGCCCAGCCGGCCGCAGCAGCAGGGCGCGGTTCTGAGTCCTCAGCTCTCCAAGGTTGGTATCCGCACAGTGCACTCAGCCTTATGCAGCAGTTAGAGAAGCTTCATCATTGATACTCAGACCTGCCCCGAGCACATCCCTTCCAGCAGAGCTGTACGAAGCAGACAGACCCCCTGTTCCGTGCTCTCTTTGGGAAGCTGCCTCCCAACGTACCTCGCGTGCTGGGCGCTCTCTGGGAAGCGCCCGATGCCGATCTGACAGGCACACTACAGCAATCATCCTACGCTACTGGAAGGATGTGGTGGACCCCCATCCCACCTGTCCGCTGAGCCCCTACGAGAGACACCCCGAATCAACTCGGCCTGCTGGGTCCCCAGCGGGGACCATCTCTGCAGAACGCGCCACCTCCCGCAAGGGCCCAAGCTGCCAAGGTGCGCAGCGCTCCACGACGCCGCCCCGCACCCCTCCCGATGGGTCCGCTGAACGCTGCTCCACCTCACCCGCATCTGCTCATCTGCGGCAGACACCGGGAGCGAGCCCAGCGCTCGGGATCTGCAGGAAATTAAGGCGCAGCGAGAAGAGGCCGCCTACCCTCATCATCCACCAGCCGCCATGTTGGGCCCGCTCACCCTCCCCCCGTCAGCGGCTCGGCACTACCGCAGCCGCCCCCGATGGCGGACGGCGCAGGCCGGCGATAGTCCCCGCTTGCCACCCGGTGGGGGAGCGGGGCGGATGCGGTGGCGCAGCGGGCGGATGGCGGCGGATGGCGGCAGCCCCCGAGCTCCTTCACTCACCCATGGTGCGGCACCGGCGCAAAGAGGCGGGGCGGAAGCTCGCGGGGCGGCTTGGCGGGATGAGCTCTCGCGATGCGGTGACGTCACCGCGCCGCCAGAGCGAGGCGCACGCCGTTGCCTGGAGACGCGGCGGCGCCGAGTGGAGCCGGCGGACAATGGCGGCAGCCTGCGGGGCCGGCAGGGAGCGGGCATGGCCAGGGGTCCGTCTGCCGCAGCCCCGGCCTTCCTGTCCGCCGGGTCACCGCGCGCACGCCTCCAGGCAGGGCCGGCAGGTCACCGTGCGCACGTCTCCACGCAGGGCCCAGAGCCCGGCGTCCCGCGGCGGGGCCGAGCGGGCGCAACAGCGCTGGCGCACACGGGCTGCGAGTCGTGACAGCCTCATTAGCATATGCATATTAGTATTCTGAATCATTTGCATGCCCGGTGTACCACACTTGGTTCATTAGCATATCCCTTATTAGTATTCAGATTTATTTCCCTACCCAGGGTGCACCGCGCGTCGGCGGAGCGGCCCCGGTCGCGTTTTCCGCCGCCGCTCCCCGGGGCTGCCGCGTCCAGCGCGGGCTGGATCCATGCCGGTGCCACGGGAGCGGACCGCGGCGGCGGGAGAGCCAGGCTGGGCGCCGCGAGTCGCCGTGACCTAGAGAGGGACAGCCGAGGGACGCCGTGTGCGCGAGGGGGGCCCCGGGCATACTCTGGTTTCTCTTCAGATCGTATAAATCTTTCGCCTTTTACTAAAGATTTCCGTGGAGAGGAACAGGCACGAGTGTCGAGAAATTTTTTGAGGCTCCATTTCGGTGGAGCTCCCCCTACTCTGGTAAAAAACAGATTAAAGGAAAATCCCTTGTGGAACTCTTGCCGCCGTGCACGGGCGGTGGAAAGGGAGCGAGGTACATGGAACGGGATATGGAGCGCCGTAACCGGCTCCTCCGCCGTCCGCGCCCAGATTTCACAGACGGATCACAGGAATTATTTGGCTGGGAGCGGCCGGGGCGCTGCGGGCACTGACGCTGTACCCAGATGGAGACAAGTGACAAGCGCTGTCCCTCAGCGCTGTGTCCTGGGACTGGCTGGGGTTTTTAATATCTTTATCAACGACACAGGCAGTGGGAGCGGGTGCACCCGCAGGCAGTGCACAAGCTGGGTGCTGTGGGTGACACACCTGAAGGGCACGGTGCCAGCTAGGGGGACCCGGACAAACTGGGGCCCACAAGAACCTCATGAAGTTCAACAAGTGCCCTGTGCTGCCTCTGGCTCTGGACGATGCCGGACACAAGAAGAACTGGAGAACACAGACTGGAAAACTCATGGAGACTAGGTCTGATGAGAAAGGAGGGAGGGTTCTTATGGGTGAAAAGCTGGACATGAACCAAGAGGGAGCAGTCAGAGCCCAGAAAGCCAACGGCATCCTGGGCAGCAGGTCAGAGGCAATTCTGCTCCTTACTGCTGAATCCAGCTCTCTGGTCCCCAGTGCAGGAAAGACACAGATATGCTGGAGCAGATCCAGAGGAAGCTATGAAGAGGATCAGAGGGCTGGAGCCTCTCTCCTGTGAAGACAGGCTGACACACTGGGGTTGTTGAGCCTGGAAGAGAAAAGGTTTTGGAGAGATCTTATTGAGGCCTTCCAATACTTATAAGGGGCTTATATATATATATATAAAAAGATATAATTACTTTTTACAAAGGCATGTAGTGATAGGGCAAGAGAGAACACTTTAAAATTAAAAGATGAGAGATTTAGGTTACATATTAGAAAGGAGTTCTTTACTGTGAGGGTAGTGAGGCACTGGAACAGGCTGCCCAGGGAAGCTGTGGCTGCCCTACCCCGGGAAGTGCTCAGGACCAGCTTGGACGGGGCTTTGAGCGAGCTGGTCTAGTAGGAGGTGAGCCTACTCATGGCACAGGGATGCGAACTCGATGATCTTTAAGATCGCATCCAACCTAGACCATTCTGTGATTCTATTTTATTTTCCTTACATTGTAAATTTAATACTGTTTTGCTTTAATTACTAAACTCCTTCCCCTCAACCCATGACTTTCTCCCTTCTACCCTTCCCGCGGGGTGGGGGCGGTCAGCCAGGGGCTGTACGGAGCCCGGCTGGGGTCAAACCCCGCCGGGGACCCGGCAGCGCGGCCGAGGCTGAGTGCGCCCCGCCCCGTTACCGGCCTGATTTGCATACCCAGGGTGCCCCGCGGCCCCGCCGGTGCCCGGTCCCGCCGGTGTCCGGCGCTGCGGCCGCTGTCCCGGGCGGTGAGCGCTGTCCGGTGTGTGCCCTCCGGGGCGGGACCGGGGCTGTGGAGCCGGGAGCGGCGCGGTGCCGAGCCGCGCGTCACCCTGACTTCTGCGGGGTGCGACGGACAGCGGCAATGGCGGGCAGCGAACGCACAGCATACTCTGGTTTCTCTTCAGATCGTATAAATCTTTCGCCTTTTACTAAAGATTTCCGTGGAGAGGAACAGGCACGAGTGTCGAGAAATTTTTTGAGGCTCCATTTCGGTGGAGCTCCCCCTACTCTTGTTAAAAACAGAAAAAACCTTTCATTTTATAAACACATATTACGTCTGGGTTGCGTAAAAGCGTAGCGTCGTCCCACCCTGACAGTCACCATGTCTGCCCGCTCTGCGGTGTATACAGCCGCACCTCGATATTCCGCTGGCCCCGAGCTTGTCCTGCCCGACCGCGGCTGGAGCATCCCGCGGCCGCTCCCGGGAGCGGTGCCTCCGCCCGCCCCAGCCGCACTCGCGGGGCAGAGCCGATCGCCCCGGCCTCCCTTCCCCGGGAGCGGCAGCGCTTCCCGCTCCCCGAGACTACATCTCCCAAGAGCAACGCTCCGCCGCGCGGCCTGCCGGGAGATGTAGTCCCGGGGCGGCTCCCGGCAGGCCGCGCGGCACGCCGGCGCGCGGGGTTTAAACCGGCGGCGGTTGCTGTGCGGGTGTCGCGCTGCTGGGGCGGGACGCGGTGCCTGTCCCCGAGCCATGGACTCCCGCCTCTGCCGCAACGTCTATCCCGGCGTCGTTATTAACATCCAGCGGAGCAGTGGTGAGGAGCGGGGAATGGGGCGTCTGTAGGGTCCGGGCGGCGTGGGGCGGCCAGGTTTGTGCTTAACGCTGGCTTTTCCCAGGTTTGATCCATAAGGCAACGGTGAAGGTAGTGAACGTGGAGCACTCCTGCGTGACCGTGGAGTGGTCTGAGAGCGGCGCTACCAAGGGCAAGGAGGTGAGTGCGGGCTGCTGGCGGCCCCTTCGTGCCCCGGGCAGGCCGAGGCCCGTGAGGCGCGGCCCGCCCTGTGCCCAGCGCTGCTGCAGCTCGCCCCGGGCTCGCCTCGTTTGATACGCGATGAAAGCGGTGCTCTCGATGTGCCAAGGTAAAGTGACGGAGCTGCAGTGCCAGAGCTGCACCCTTTGCCTTTCAGAGGGATCAAGGAGGTCTTGGGCCTCTCGCAATGTCGACTATCCCGATGCTAAATGTCCTAAGATTCCAGCTTTCCAGCTGTTTGTTGGCTTTCCACGTCTTACACTATGGCCTTCAGGCTTTTCTTAAAATCTGTTACTAATAAGGTGCCATGTTAACAGAGCTGGGTTTGCTTTCCTGAATTTCTGCACCAATATGAAATAAATACAGTATGGGATGGGAGAGAGAGGAATCTGGGGCATTTGAAGGTTATATGGCTGAAATCCTGACACTTAAACAAGTCTGGTGCTCAGAAAATGTACTTGTCCTTCTGTCTCTAGAAATGTGCAGACTCTGGATTTCAGTGAAAATCTTAAAAGTTGCTATTGGCTGGTTGTTAGGAACCAAATCTTACCCTGTCCATGTGCCTGCTACATTAAAATATAAAAAATATACAGATTCAGTTATAATTATTGGCTAAATTGTATTTATGTGTTAAGGTGTTAAATCTTTAGGAAGATACTTCAAAATCCCACAATGTTCTTATGTGTATATGCTGTGTGTGTGATGAGGTGAAGGCAGAATTGATTTCACATGGGGGTCAGTCAGGAATAGCTGGTCCCAGCTGAAGTTGTTTGCAGTAGCAAGTGAAGATGCAGGTGAATTAAGTTATGGATTAAATGCTGAATCCTTCATTTCCCGGCGTCTAAGCAGCTCTTTGACGTTTATTTCGGTAAGCACAATCACACTGTAAACACTTAATGCTCTCCTAGCACAGAAGTTACAGAGCTGCTGAGATTTACTAAGATTAGCAGTGGGAGATTAGAGCAGGGGATGCCAAATGGGCTTTGCCCTTCTCTGCAGAAGAGCTCTATGGCACCTGCAGAGCTGTGTGGTGTTTGGCAGATGAGGGTAAATGGCTTAAGGAGCACGTTTTGTCTGGTGTATTTGGATGAACCAGATTGTTCAAACGGAATAGGAACTACTGTTTGCTCTTCCAAGCAGTTTTAATGTAACATTTGGCAGGCAGTGGGTCAAGTTTGTTTGCCTTCACTGAAAGTCCAGATTAGAAAAAAAACAGTCCCTAAGTGGAAGCAGCAGTATTCTGCTACCATGTAAAATCCTGCCTTTGCTCTTGCAGGTTGATATTAATGATGTAATTGCAATAAATCCTGAATTATTAGAACTGCCTCCTGCTGATGTGAAAGAGAATGTTCCCTTGCAAGACAATGTAACTATACAGGTAAGTGCTTGAAAGTAGCTTAGTTTTTTCTAAGGTGCTAAAGCATAGGTCTTGTTCTATGTAACACTCTCATCTTAAAGTTTGGGATCTCTAACTTGTCTTTTCTGTCTCATAGTTAGGCTTTGGTCAGAAATTCTCATTGTATTGATGTTGCCCTGAAGAGCTGTGCTTGGTGTTTGCTGTTTACTGCAATTGCTTACAGCTTTCCTTGTTTTTCAGAAACAGAAGCGTAGGACAACCCTTTCAAGAATTCCTGCTCCACGGGAAGGTGAGAAAAAGTTGGTTTTTTTTTTCCTCTGCTATACCCTTGTGGAACTGTGCTGGTCTTTCACTGGAGGCATAATATTGTACTTTAGTGCATCGTAAGGCTGCTCGTTTGGGCAGTGCTAACAAATGTCTCATGCCAATGTTTTGGACTCCTGAGGGCAGGGACTCTCCTGACAGGTTGCTGTCCTGCTCCTGTGAGCTGGGGTTTATTGATGTGTTCTCTTCTTCTGCAGTATTGCTGTAGTTACTCCCTGCTTTAAATGTCACTAGGCAGTTGCTGTTGTAGTGAGTTTTAAAGTTCTGTATGGAGCTTTGCAAGTGCCACAAAACAGCAGAAACTAAGTGGCAATAATTAAGATTAAAAGCGTCAGAATGAGAGTAGAAAGGACAAGAAAGAAATAGTGGTGACAAATGTGTGTCTCCCCATCAAGCAGTCTCCCTAGACAATAAGTAGAGCTTTATGCTTGGAGACTTTTCAGAGCAGGCAGCCAAAGTGCCAGCTGGTGTGCCCAGCTCCCTGATTGCATGTCAGTACAATGTGTTGAGCAAAGCCAGAAGGGTAGATAGAGATGTCAGTGTGGGATTGCTAAGAAATTGTTCTTCCTGAGGTGTCAGGAGTTAGAAAATGCCTATTTTCTACCTTCTCTTAGCTTTATTAGCTGACTCTTTAGGCTTTTTGAATTGCAAATGGCAGCATTACAGGTTTATTTGTAATACACTGTATGATGCTGAGGTTGAATGATTGCTGATTTAATGATTCTCTTAAAGTGCATAGTTAGCCAAAACTTGTGCTTCTCTGTTTAACTGGGCTGTAAACAAAACATCTGGGCATATTTGGCCTCTTCTGTTGCATGTAATGTGAGACAGGGAAGCTGGTCCCAGAAGACACCAGTACAAAATTCTCTGGCATCAGAGAGGCAGGAGTTGTCCAAGAATCCTGATGTGTAAGAATTTGTTCTGTACTGGAGTATCGTGATCTTTCTCAAATTCAGAGAACTCTGTAAATTTTGTGAACTGCCAAGCAAAATGATGTGGTAAAGTCATGACTGTCTGTACATAGGTCTGTTAATAGAACTGGATAGCCAGCTGGAAAACACAATGTGTGTTAATCCAGTCACTGGTTGATGTCCTTGCAGAGGTCACAGCTTTCCTGAAGTATAGAATCTAATTGCATAACTAAAATATCTGTTGCCTGTGCTAGAGGCACAGTCTTGTCCCTGCTCAGAGCTTAGAGCAGCAGTGTTTTCAGTACTCCTCAAATAATTTTTATTGTTAAAACTAGCTAAAGCCCAGGAGTGTCAGAGTATCTGTCCTGTTGCAAACTCTGCACTGCACCATTTAGAGAGCTAACATTGGCTTCACTCATGTTCTTAGACTAAACAAATTAAAGAAGATCAGCAGGTGTCTTTCTCCATCTTATTCAGGAAAGGAGAGAAGCAGAAGCAGTGCTTTCAGAATTAATTAAGGAATAGATATTGTCTCAGTCCCAGGAATCAACAGGGATTTTTGAGGATGCTGAATATCCTAACATACAAGAATCACTTGAATCAAACCCATTTATATGAGTGAATCCTCCAGTTAATCTGCCTGTCCAGAAGCACCAACATTTATACAAACAGTGCTGTTGAGTGTGAGACGAGATCAGGTCTGGGCACGTGGGACAAGAGAAAATGGAATAAAATGCCCTGAGTGTGAAACTGATGCTTTTTGTTTCTAAAAT